AGAATATTTTGTCATGTCTGGGTGCTATAAATATCTATTCATTTATTACAGGGGTTAAATACCAAACCTGTGACTTCATAACTGTTGATCAGTTTTGGCGGAGTGAAAGTGAAACGTAGTGTCTGTGATAGGAAAGTAGGATTCTAGAAACACCTTTCATGCCACGGAGATGATTTATATAACCATTATTACAAATAGAAATCAATTATCCCCGAGGAAGTGATGAAGTTTTCACTTTAACATTAAGCCATGTTCCTATGTATATTTTGGGCTTCCTGTAGTTAAATTAAGTCCCACTGAAGGCTATAGAATGCAAAATGATAGCAATAGTTTCATCCAAGACTTTTATCAATGTTACATAATACAAAAAGTGTGGATTCGATGAATTCTGATCTGTGTGCTGCCTTTACCACCTGCGTTATATTTACATAAATTATTTATAAGTAATCACAAATTACGCCATTCAACTGTCATTTTTAAAGCAAAACAGGTTGTACTAAAGTTTGGACGTCAAGTACGGTACCATAGGGGGTATGTGTAAAACACGAAACGAGAAACAAGAAACAAGAAACGAGAAACAAGAAACGAGAAACGAGAAACAATGAAATGAGATTCAGGTTAAAAAAAACTAATGACCTTAAAATGTCAACAAAGGGGGCGGCTTGTACTTTTGATTTCATTTTGTTAGAAAACAGATGCAGAGTGAAATGAAAATATCTAACTTAGGTCTGATTTATTAGCGACCCGCACAACTATCTGCACAGAAAAACCCTAAAATGTTGTCAGATTTAATTAATACAATACTGTTATCTAAGAGAAATGCTTACTCAGTTTTTGCTTGAAATAATAAAGTTGTCATCAAATGATACAATTTTTGCTTTTAATGATTCTGTTGTCATTAATTGATTTCATTAATTAATTGAGGAGGAATTTATTGTTAATGATATAAGATATAGTTTTCCTAATTACAATTTTAACATAATAATATATATATAACATTATAATTATAATATAATATAATTATAATTTTTAACATATATATATATATATATATATACATTGTATAACAGATATATGAATGTTTTGTTTATAAATAATGTGAAATTATTTAATGTGATTGTTTTGTTTATTCTTGGTTATGAAACAATCAGATAATAATTTGAGGTGAGCCTCTCAGCTGATATCTAATTAAATCTGTCATGGCCTGATGGGTTTAGCAGTGCAAGATCGCTAATGTTTCACTCAACATCTGTTTTCTAACAAAATGAAAGCACAGCAAAAGCTGCCCTCTTGGTTGACATTTTTAGGTCATTTTTTTTTTAAATTCTGTTGTTTCTCGTTTCTGATTTCTTGTTTCTCGTTTCTTGTTTCTCGTTTCGTGTTTTACACATACCCGTACCATAGGGCGTAACAATAGAGATATTCATATTCATCCATTGTAGTTCAAGAGAAAATGAAGAAATTTCTAATCTGCAAGGAATGTTAAAGACAAATAAATAGAAATGGGAATATTTTTAAACAGCTCTAATGACAATAAAGGAGAAATACCAGCGTTTGATATTCTGCATTTAGTTAAAATGTGAAGTAATTACTGTAAATGTATTATATTTACTGAGTATAATATTTGGCGGAAATTCATTTTTCAACAAGTTGATTTAGCCCTTTCAAAATGTGCTAAAAAATAAATGAATTTAGCGATGTGATTTAGCGGATTCTGCTTTCCGTCAAAATCGGTAAATTAGAATAACCCCACTGAATGTAATACGTTTAAAGTATTATATTTGAAATCAAATGCATTGGATACATGTCTGTAATTGTATTTATTGGTACAACATGCATGTTTACAATTCAGATATTCTTTGTACAATGATGATAGCTTACTAGGTAAAATATTGCAAAACTAGTTTTAAATGACAAATACCGTAGTAGGAATTAAATGCAATGCAAATAAAAAATCAAAGTACTGAACACACTCATGGGAGTTGAACATGGTGTGTAACAAAATCTTTGATCGGGAGGTTAAGTGAATAAACAATATTATTATTTCAAATACAGACAACTGTTTCAAATTTTTTGTGTTGCAACAATCTTGAGAAAGACATTCAGAGACATTGAATAGCAAAAAAAAATGGATGGGCCATAATGCTTGCCTGCCTACATTAATTAGTCCTTTTTTATACCCCCTGCTTGAAAAACTGGAGTGTATTTATTAATCGGGAATTCTGTCCATCTGTTTGTTACGCTCTAGGTATACCCATCTCTTATCCGCAACTCCTCTTACACTACTTAACGAAATTTTCATAGAATCTTTATTACATATATTACCGTTGTGCACCTTCTATTACTTTTTCATCCTACACATAATTTCGGTTTTCCATTGCAAAACATATTCATATGAGAGGCGATTGATCATTTATAGAATTCACTGCTCACATGCAGTCTTCAAATTTGTTATTATTTTTCCTTGGAACCTTTACCCTATCGTCGGAAACCCACGGGTGATCTCGTCTTTACTTATCACCCGTGGGCAAACTCGCCGAAAAATCGTCGTATGTAATTAAATATGCATGGGTCATTTGATTGGCCGCATTACAGAATCGCGATGCGTAACAACGAATCACAGTTCACGTTACGTATGCAAGTTCGGCATTGCCAAAAACATGAAAAACTCATTCCGTAGTTAACACAGCTAATAAATCCACTCACCGGTGCATTTTGCAGTTAGAAAGAGGTACTCCTTCATAATATCTGACGGATATTAATGTCAGTGACCTGTATGAATTGATTTTCATTGTTTTAAATCAAACTTCGCACGTTTTAACGAGCATCAAAATATTTACTATAAATAGCAAAGTAATAAACGTATTTTTCAAAATTGAAGAGTTCCAACTTTCTGATTGGTTGACTAAAAACAACAAATTAGCATATTTTACGGCGATATTTCGGCGAGTTTGCCCACGGGTGATAAGTAAAGACGAGATCACCCGTGGGTTTCTGACGATGCCTTTACCCATGTTTTATGAAAATTTCCAGTTTCGCAGGAATAATAACAATATTGATATAATGTGGATTTTAACACAGCATCCTTTTAAGAGCTAACAGGTTTGTTACATGTATATAAAACTTCTCTGTGAATATAAATGTATTTCAGTTACACGAACATTATACATGGAGTACGTCAGAACTTAATCTTTTTTTAATATTCTGAAGAAAAAAGCAATACCAAGTTAAAAACAAATATTAATGACCAAACATAAAAATAGTGGTATATGTGAGAGTTTGTGTGCGTACAAATTATCTGGTATGTAAATGAGATTTTTCTTTTATTAAAAAAATATACTTCATTTTGTTGCTTTTAATCGCGATTTTACGAAAACATGGGTGTCCGTTTTTGGTTTTACTAGTTGCATTTATAACAGTGTACTAGATGTAACGCTTTTGGAAGGTGATACTGCTGATTTACTAATAACAAGCTAATTCAGAGAATTCGTGTCCCCCGCTTAGGGAAAAAGTCGGCTCCCCCTGACTGAATTTGTAGAATTATTAAATGTATACATGTTTATTACATACTTAGTAATAAATACAGGTTTTTTTGCATATGCGATATGGCTGACGTCACAATAGCCGTATCATCCCTGTAGGGCTGATACGGCTATTGTGACGTCAATATCACCCCTTAGTAAATTAAACCACAAAAACAGTAGTTGTGATCATACACTATTTTTCATGCAGGGGCGTAGTATCCGGGGGGCCAGGGGGGGCCTGCCCCCCCCCCCCACTTTTTTTCCCAACCTTACTTACACTATAGGAAATGTTAATTGAAAACCTGGTTGCCCCCCCCCCCCACTTTTAGAAATGTACCGAAAATGTAGTATAAGAATTGGTACTAAAAGTAGTTGACACTGAGAAAAAGTTTACCTAGTTTTATTGCAGAAGTCTATAAGCTTAAGTCCTCGATTGTTTCTCACAATTTAGTTTCAGTTGGTCCTTATTGTCTATAACCAGTAAACACCCAGATATGAAACAGATGTGGAAGATTCTGTGGTGCCTTTTATTTCCAGTTCACAGGAATATATCGAATAGACATATGAATGGAAGTAACCATATGTTAATTAAATGTGGCCGAATTACTATAAACTTGAAACTAATCTGAAATCATAAACTTAAACAGACTTTTAATCAACACGTCTTTGTAAGATTATAAATGTGAGCGCTATGGCCAATGGACCTCTTGCTATTTTAAAGCAGTGAACACTTACGTACAAAGTAAATCTACAAACATCGTCGGATACCCACGGGTGAGGTGATCTCGTCTTTTACTCGTGATGCGTTAAAGACAAGAACACCCTTGGGTATCCGATGATGATCTACAAATGTTGCATTCACAAGTTAATTTGAAAAAAACCTTTCCATTATCTATTTTTTGGGGGGAGATAAACTTCAGAATACATATCTACAGTAAGAAAATTACAACAATATTCATATAGCCGTTCTAAAATGCTATCAGGGGCGGGAGTAACTAAAATGATAAAGTTCTATCGTTTAGAAAGTCTCATTTTAAAGTTTGGTGGCAAGTGCGTTATTCCCAATGATCCCTCCAGAGAAGGTAAACACTCCGGATCCTCTGGTTTTACTTCAAACTTCTGTAGAAATCTGGTGAAGAAGAGGAAAAGCTCCATTTTTGCAAGCGATTCTCCCAAACATATCCTGCGTCCTGTAGAAGAAAATGAAGGATATATTTCATTATGTATATAAGCCTTATCTTCAAAGTAAATGTTCAGACATTTTCCCCCAAAATAATTAACGTGTAAATTTTTTTCACTTTATTGTAAAACCTATACTGTACCTATTGAAAATGGTATCAGCTTATTTTTCTGTTCTCCTTGACATTTTCCGCTGTCGTCTAAAAACCTCTCTGGTTTAAACTTTGAAGGCTCAGGGAAATTTTCAGGGTCCGACAAAACAGAATCAATAACACAAAAGACAAAGACTCCTTTGGGAAAGAGATGTCCATCGTACACGAAATCCTCACTTGCAGCATGTGGTACATTCAAGGGAACTATGTCTGCCAGGCGCTGAATTTCCAAAATGAACGCCTCTACCCTGGGTAGTTTGTTTCTGTGTTCCATCTTAGGCTGACCTTGACCGATGACGTCATCGATGTCCTTCTGGAGAATTTTCTGCCATTGTGGATAATGGATCAAGTACAGAAGCGCCCATCTAAGTGTTGTAGAAGTAGTCTCAGTACCAGCACCAAAGAAATCTCTTACACTGACGACAAGCTGTTCATCTGTCAAGTGAAAGTCAATGTTTGAAAATGATATTATTTCTTAGTATATATAACAAACTGTGTTATAGACGTGCTTAGATGATTTTTAACACTTCTTGTGAGTTGTGACAACACCTCTCTTTGGGTATCAACATGTGTGACCTCTTGATCTTTATCTTGTAGTTTGACATACTTTTGCAAAACATATAACCGTTTACTTTAACTTTTGCCATAACTTTTGAACTGTAACCAAGAGTTTGATCAACTTTTAAAAACTCTTATATTGGCCGTAATTTTTGAGAAGTGAGTACTAAGGATTTCTTATTACAAAGATTTATTGATTTGTGACAAGACCCTCCTTTAAATACCAACATTTCTGATCTTTTGACCTTGGAGCTTGACCTACTTTTGACAAACCTTAAACTTGGCCGAAACTTTTGAACAGTTGGTGCTAGGATTTTTATATTTCATAACTGCTTCTTTTGACAAGGCCTTCCCTGGGTACCGTTAATTTTGACCCTTTGACTTCGGAGTCAATTTAACGTTGGACAAAACTTTTGAACAGTTAGTGCTGGGGATTTTATATTTCACAGGTATATTCCTTGTGGCAAGACCTTCTTTTGAATACCAACTATTTTAATCTTTTCACTTTGACCTTGGAGTCTGACCTATTGCTAAAATATATTTTTGAACAGTTGCTCCTAGAGGGTTTTTTTTACCTCCCATGTGTTTGTGTGACAAATCCTTCCCATGAGTATAATTGATTTTGACTCTGACCTGTATTTGAAAAACATTAACCTTGGCCTTAACTTTTGAACAGCTAGTGCTTTGAATTTCATATTTCACAGGTAAATTCATTGAGACAAGTCCTTTCTTCCGGAAACAGCATTTTTGATATCTTTGAATTTAACTTGCATTTGAGAATTTGAGAAACTTTAAACTTTACCATATTCATCTTGCTCATGAAACAATTTAAATGCCTATGACATGAAGTCCAGTATTTCTATGAATATTGATTTTTCTTTACTTACCAGACATTGAAAAATTATAAATCGTCCTAGAATTAAGGTATCCTCCATATCAATACCTATGCATATATATTCCATAATGTTAATTTAGGGAGACAGGGAGACTCTTTTTTAAAATTACCTGTGAATGTCGAGTTTATCTCATTTCCTTTTTGACTTTGTTCCAGTAGGAAAGCATCGACGAAATCGTTGATGTTGTTCTCATCAAAATTTTTCCTGTGCTCTTCTATCATTTCAGTGACAAACGCAATCATAGCAGCTATGTCCTTCATTATCTTGTGTTAGTGTTATTAATTTGAAAATGGCGTACCCAAGGGAAAAGAAATCCGATTGAAGAAGCATTGGCAGTAGAAAACAGTTCATTGAGTAAGTAAATCAAGCGCTTGAATTTCTCATCTTCATAATTAAATCTTTTACCGAATAAAAGTGAACAAATGACGTTTGAGACTGTGGTGTTCAGCATACTTTGAATGTCAAATGCCTCTTGTCCATATTTTTCTAGTTCATCCATTAAGCAGTCTACTTCTTCTATGATCTGGCTTTCCAGGCAACGTTTCCCGAATCCGAACTTTCGCATTGTAGTCAGTGCAAACGTTCTCTGTTCTTTCCATAAAGGACCTGATGACCAAACCAATCCTACAAAAAAAAAATTACAAAGACGGTGACCATATTCTATTTTATCCTGATTATCCTGTTTAAAATATATAATAGTGTTTGTTTTCTATGGTAACTTGCTTACTTTGGTCAGATTTGCACATTATATGCTGCAAACAAACCTTTTCCTTTTGCAATAGCCACAGATGGAAGAACTTTTGGTCGCTCTGAAAACACGTCGCCATGCTTTGCCAGAAGTTCCCTTATATGATGATATCCATGGACAATTATCATAGGTTTGTAGAATATCATCAATGAGTAAATGTCTCCATAGATCTTCCTTAATTTTCTGTGAGCTTTCGGGGGCGTCGGATGGTTTAAAGAGTCCTACATTACCGATGAATGGATAGCTTGTCGGACCTGGTGGAATACCTCTGGGTCGTTTGGAAAGTCCACAAATCAAACAGACCAACACAACAAGAATGGCCACAGTAATCCAGGCGCGGATCCAGGATTTGGAGTTAGGGGGGGGCGCCAAAATTAGGCAAGGGGTCTGGGGGCCGCCTTGAGGCCCCCAGTGGGTCCAGGGCAAAGCCCTGGTGGTGGCCCAGGGGGCGAAGCCCCCCGAAGCTCCTGGATTCTAGAGATTTTGAAGGGTTAAAATGAGGTCTACCAAAGCCCTGGTGGGGGCCCAGGGGGCGAAGCCCCCGGAAGCTCCTGGATTCTAGAGATTTTGAAGGGTGAAAATGAGGTCTACCAAGTAGACATATTTGATTTACGCTAACTTTGACAATTTTAGGGGGGGCGCGCGCCGGGTGCGCCCCCCCTTAAATCCGCCACTGTAATCCACATGATGCGTGAAGACTTAATTTTAGGAAAAATACGTTTATTTACGATTTCGATGAATGTACCTTTATAATCACTTCACACCTTTTATAAGGGAAATGTTTGCATTATCTTGACCTTAAATCTGTAATATTTGCAAACAATGCCCGATCTTGCTACATGGGTCATTTAAATCAACGTTTCAGTTTATCACTTGGCTTGCACTTTTCTACTGGGATAAACACAATGATAAATTCCATTAACTTAACATTGCAATATTTGCAAACGACCACGATCCTGTTTTCTGCGTCATTTAAACTGTAAAATGGCGTTCCAGTTTTTCACTCAGCTTGCAGTTAAACAGATGATAGAAAGCACACGCCTGGATTTTGTTTATTTCTTTAATGGCTGGCCTAAGGGCATTATCTGGACGAGTCGCGACAGCATGTTGTCATAAACTGTTCTTTGTCACTGAATACGGAGAATAATTAACAATGATTCCGAATATTTGCAAAAACGATGCCATTCGTCATTTAAATGAACGTTCTAGTTTCTCACTCTCACCGTATACAACCGGTAACGCGGGGGAGTCGCTAAAAAGTATGGGGGAGTCGTTTTCAACGTATGGGGGAGTAGATTTTCACCGCTTCGGAGTCAGAGGAGATGTGGGTCACGTATTTTTTCGGTATATATAAGATGTATTTACAAAAAAGAAATATTCCACGGAAGATGGCAATAGTTAAGCTTTATCGTGGTGATATGTCCGGCTATCATACACGTCTAGTTTTCTCGAACACTTCGAAACCATTTGACAGTTTTCATATTTATGTTGATCGGGTAGTAAAAACATACATGATTTGCACAATCTACGGCTTACATAGGGATTCTCACTTTTAAAACAGCGAGAGAAAACGTTTGTCTTTTAAATGCAACAACTTAAACTTGACTAGACTTTATAAAAATTAATAATTCAGACAGTTTCTCTTCAGACAGTAACGGTTCCGTAGGGGGGAGTCGTTTATGGGAAAGCACATCGCCGGGGGAGTCGCAAAATAAAGTCAAATGCATATACTTGGTGTTGTTTTCATCTCTTTTTATACTGCCAATACTGTTTTATTTACTCGTAGATATCTATAAATCTAAGTTTGGTTATTTAATTTATAATCTGAAGTCACGAAAAGAGATTTTTCTGTGGCTTTATCAGTTCCAGAAAACAATCAGCAATTTAGATTTTACATGAACAATTGCATTATATATCATCGAAGCACATGTGCTTGGGGACAGGACCCTCCCCCTGAGTATGTAATGTTCGTAAATGTATATCACAAAAATTCAATTCACGAATTCACGAACCCTCACTTCCAGTAAGCCTCTCCATTAAAAAAAGAACAACCCGATTAATAATTTTAAACATTTCTTATTAATATCAAACATTTTTTTATTATTATTGTCGCAGAATACTTAAATTATAGTAATTATTATTTGCTAATGTGTTAATATAATTTGGTTGTCAAACTGTTGTAACCTCCTTTCACCACCCACCCCCCCCCCTTTTTTTGTTGCTTGTCAACACTTTTTAGGTGAGTTGTCTGTTATTTTTGTTTGTTATACTTTTAAAAATTGTTACATAAATTTACACTTAAAAAAGAACATTTCTACTGTTTTCATAAGTCAAATAGTCAAATAAATAGCTGTTTGACCGTAGAGCGAGATGTTGGACCTTTCGATGAGATATTGCACCGTTTACGTCAAAGTGTGGGCGGGTTCAGCTGTCAGAACTTTACGGAATTGACAGTTTTTCAATGCAGTGAGGGTTAACAAGAATTTCATCATGATAATATCATAATAAACAGTAAAATGTATAACAAAAAACTAATTTTATCGAATGTGTTCTCTAGATCTGGCAAAACGTGTTCTGTCGACCCGTTGAACAAAACTAATTGCCTTCGGTCTAATCGTCTCGTACAAACCAGTTGCGGATCCAGAGGGGGGGGGGTTACGGGGGTTGCAACCCCCCCATTTGGATTTGCAAAAAAGAAAGAGAAATAAGAAAGTTCCAACTTTTTTGTTGTGTTTTACTATAGAAAATATAAGGTGAAAGGCTAATTATACCCCACGCAACTAGTTGCGGGAGGTATAATGTTTTTGACTGGTCCGTCAGTCAGTCAGTCAGTCAGTCCGTCAGTCAGTCCTCTTTTTTTGTCAGCGCAACTCCTCATAAACCGCTGCACAGAATTTCGTCAAACTTTGCAGGTATTTAGGACACAATGTGTAGATGTGCATATTACCAGGAAATTCCGATTCCTTTATTTTTTCCGGGAATTTCCACACTTTTTAACTTAGGCATTTGGCCATACCTTGAATATAGAGATGAACAGTTTGTCAGCGCAACTCCTCATAAACTGCTGCACAGAATTTCGTCAAACTTTGCAGATATTTAGGACACAATATGTAGATGTGCATATTACCAGGAAATTCCGATTCCTTTATTTTTCCGGGAATTTAAACACTTTTCAACTTAGACTTTTTTGCCATATTTTGAATATAGAGATGAACAGTTTGTTACCACCACTCCTCTTAAACTGTTGTACATAGTTTCGTCAACCTATGCTGATATTTAGGACATACTGTAAACCAACTTTTATTCGCGTGCGAGAAATTTTCGCGAAGTTCGCGAGAGCCTCGTCATCGCGAATATTTCTCGCCGCGAACCGGTCCTTATAGTATATTTTTCTATTAAAAACAGATGCAAAAAGGCTTGATCGCGAAAATTAATCGTCGCGAACTAGTTTATCCCTGGTAAATCGCGAAATAAAGTCGTCGCGAATAAAAGTTGGTTTACAGTATTCCATTATTTTATCCCAAAGAGTTTTGCCTATTATTCAAGAAAATTTCTCACCCCCCCCCCCCACTTCAAATTATTGTGTGGATTTGTATATTGTCAAGAAATTTTGATCCCATAATTTATCTAGAAACTTTATTCCACATTTAAATGTCCTCATATGCAAGACATTTTGATGTGAAGATTTTTTGCAATTATTGCCCTTTTTGATCTATACTATGTATTTAAAGTGCACTGTGCCTTTCATTAAATGTGTTTCACCGTCAAGTTATGCGGGAGCGTGGGGTATGTGAGCTAGCTCACCTTTTCTTTCATTTTGTAATACATAAAGAAATACGGTTGTAAAAACAAAATAAAACCCCATCCCTTTACAAAACAGGATTTTCAGGTTCGGAGATTTATTTTCCTTTCTTTTTCAAAAACTTTCTGGTAATGTATACAAGGACTTTTTCCCAGATTGATCAACGTCCCACTTTCAAAAACCATACTCCACCCTGTATCGATATTCTATTGAGTTATTTAACTATATGTATGTGTACAACGTACGTTTTAACTGTTTTTGCCTTCAACCCCCCTTTTGAAAAATACTTCAAGCCCCCCTTTGAAAAATTTCTGGATCCGCGCCTGCAAACAGTTTGGTTCTTGGGTCCGACAAAACGCATGTTGCCCTCGAACCCTGTGTATGAATGTATGTTTTTTGCCTCAGACTGATTCTGGTACAACAACCCGCCATGCTATGTGTTCATGAAACTGGTGAGGGGTAAAGGGGGTAGCATGTTCCGAGGAATTGTATATAGCTGGGGCAAGGTAAGGGAGATTATCATGATAATGAAATGTATACATTGAAGAAATATTTTCGTATTTCTTCTTTTCAAAGTTTGTGGTAAATTATTTTTACATTGACACTTCTCATTTTATTTATCATAGACAAGAATTATTTTCCAGCGCTTTAGGAAATATGCAATCCAGTCCCTTCTTCAGCATTCATTCTGTACATTTACCTATGTGTATTAACCTCAGATTATCCAAAATATTCTCAGTTAACATACTAATTCGTTTGTGTCTGAAGATGTGTTACTATACATGATAAATAAATAATAAATTGTGAACCTAATCGTGAGAATATACCAGTTCAACCCCCTTTCCAAAGAAAACGTCAAGGAGCGTGAAGGCGCGTCAGAGATCTGCCTTTCTCTAGTTAAAAAAAATGGTTGATATTATCGAGAAATTTTTCATATTATAAATCTGGTTAATTTTTTTTTATGGAGAGGATTTCATATTGGAAGTGAGGGTTCTGAATTCGTGAATTGAATTTTGTGATATACATGTGCGAACATTACATACTCAGGGGGAGGGTCCTGTCCCCAAGCACATGTGCTTCGATGATATATAATGAAATTGTTCATGTAAAATCTAAATTGCTGATTGTTTTCTGGAACTGATAAAGCCACAGAAAAAATCCCTTTTCGTGACTTCAGATTATAAATTAAATAACCAAACTTAGATTTATAGATATCTACGAGTAAATAAAACGGTATTGGCAGTATAAAAGAGATGAAAACAACACCAAGTATATGCATTTGACTTTATTTTACGACTCCCCCGGCGATGTGCTTTCCCATAAACGACTCCCCCCTACGGAACCGTTACTGTCTGAAGAGAAACTGTCTGAATTATTAATTTTTATAAAGTCTAGTCAAGTTTAAGTTGTTGCATTTAAAAGATAAACGTTTTCTCTCGCTGTTTTAAAAGTGAGAATCCCTATGTAAGCAGTAGATTGTGCAAATCATGTATGTTTTTACTACCCGATCAACATAAATATGAAA